GAGGTTGTTAAGTTATGTTTTGTGCTCTTGTCATGATGTAATGTGGTTACGCTGTTATGTTGTCTGGTATTTTCAATATGTGGTTTGATCATTACGTGATGTGGTTTCGTCTTTATGTCTTCTTGACCTCACTTCCAACACCAAGCTCTAGTACCCAGGCTTTACTCGCTATCACGAACTGGTGAAACCGGTTTTTAGATGGGTCCCAGTTACTTCTCTTCCCCGGTGTTAAAGACAACAAAATGGCGGGAACAAGCAACGACATTTTGTCAATTATACTTGATAAGATGCACCTTTATGGAGGGGGAATTGGGACAAAAATGTAATTGAATCGAGTTTCCATTAACGCCATGCCATTGAATCATACGTCATTCTATTGGATCATCTACTTCATTTCATTGGATCGGACTTCATTTTATTCAGTGGATCATATGTCATTCTATCGGATTACATACTTCATGTCATTGGATCGGACTTCATGTCATTGCAACACATCATTCTGCCAGAACACCACATTCGTGTTATTGAATCTAACGTCATGTCATTGGATCGTGGACCATTCGATTGAACTACACACGTCATGTCACTGGATAGAACTTCATGCTATTGGATCGGAAATGTCATTCGATCGGGCCAGCGGCTTATTAAAAAAAGTTTGTCTCACAGAATTGATCACCGGGGAAGTCCGATCCAATGACATGAAGTGTATAATCCGATAGAATGACGTGTGATTCAATGGCATGGGGTTAATGGTCCAATGGCATGAAACTCGATTCAATTACATTTTTGTCCCAATTCCCCCTCCATAAAGGTGCATCTTATCAAGTATAGTTGACAAAATGATCCACAGTTACCTTTTCACGCTGGAAGTTCTCAATAAGATGACCAAGGTGCATCTTATCAAGTATAGTTGACAAAATGTCGTTGCTTGTTCCCGCCAGTTTGTTGTCTTTAACACCGGGGAAGAGAAGGAACTGGGACCCATCTAAGAACCGGTTTCACCAGTTCGTGATAGCGAGTAAAGCCTGGGTACTAGAGCTTGGTGTTGGAACTGAGGTCAAGAAGACATAAAGACGAAACCACATCACGTAATGATCAAACCACATATTGAAGATACCAGACAA